CCACTCAAGAGGCCTCTTCCCGTGGCTCCTGCCCACAGCCTGGGAGGGAGGGAGGGAGGGCGGGCGATCTCCCAAGCCCTCCTCGACTCCTTTGACTCAGCGCCTTGCAACAAGGAGTCCCACAGCTGTGAGTCACCAGTGACAGAGGCCGCGTTCCCCCAGGACTCCCTTTGATCCACCTGGGGCCGGGCACCTCCTCCTTCAGCCCTCACCGCTTCTGCGTCGGGGCGGGGGTACGAACCAGCCCAGCCTGCTCCCGGTCCCTGCCCGAGACCCCTGTTGTCGTCCCCCCCTAGCTCGAGGCGGAGGACATGACACCCTCCGTGCCCTTCCAGCTCCCCGTGTTTGCTTTACGCTCAGCAGCGCAGCAAAGAGGTTGCAGGTCACGGGGACGTTCAAGGACAGGCTTGGGCTATACTGCATCTGAGCGGCCGGCGCTGCCGGGGAGGAGGGAGGATGCCCACAGCCCCACAGCGAGCTTCGGGCATACGGGGAGCCGGGATTGGAGCTAACAGCTTGAGACAGAGATGGCCTGAGTGTGGCCACCGGCTCCAGTGGCATCCAACCGGAGCAGGGGACACTGCGCTCGCTGCTGTGGTACCCAGGAGGCACAACCGGGGCCTCCGCGGGCAGCTGCCTGGCTGAGCCACGCCGGTGACACGTGTGCCCAGCGTGCTGTGCCGGGGCTACGCCCCAAGCAGAGGGCGGCCATCCTCCCTGCGTTGGCCACGGGCAGGTTGCCAAGGCAAGCTCTCACCTGGCCAGGGCTACGGGCAAGGGTGGGGGGTGAGCCTGGGAAGTTGGGGGGGCTCCACCCAGCCGGTGCGGCACCGGCAGAGGATGCTCCAGGGATCCCTCAGAGGATTTTGGGAAGCATCAGTCAGGAACACATCTCTCTTCCCTACATGCAGAACGCTCCCGCTGTGTCCGGGAGGGGGGAGACGGGCTCGGCATCCCCTGCCGGGCCTCGGGGTGGGGGTCAGCCCCCGGGGCAGCCCCCCCGGCCGGGCAGGAGCACCCTGGAAGGGGGCAGAAGCGCGGGGCTCCCCAAAATAGCACCCAGTGCACTGCACAGGAGTCCGCGGGTCCCGTCCAGGGGTGCTGCACCACCCCC